GTCAGTTAGATAGACTGGGCTTTGTGAGACAAAGTGTGTGATAAAATTGCAAGATACCCATTAGATGTAGAGTTTGTAATCAATCGATAAAATCATCGCTTCGTGTCACTTTGGCCATGTTTCGTCTCATACCTTAGCAGTGCTCAGCTCAAGACATAAATAAACCCCGTGCCTGACCCCTGAATGGAATCGACCTACATTGCACATCAGCACCAAAGTAGACGGGTCCAAAATAGAACCTCCAGAAAGCCAAAGCTCAAGGCACGGGGTGTGATCCAAAAGAGTCCCATTATCATTACTTCTAAACGATATAATGTTCGGCCGTCACAGTCATCAATAGAAACCCCCTTCTCATTTCTCATGCATCGGTCGCCCCTTCATCATCAAATGAGCTCCCACTTCATGAGGAACGTCCAAGCCATGCCGCACCTCCCCTTCTTAGAAAAGTAGTAGTCGGCCGTCATGCCCCTGGCGTCCTGCCCATCAATCGTGGTGATCATGGCCACGCTAACGCTCTGGCCCGGCGCGCCGAGGTCGATGGCGTTGACGTCGGCCCAGTGCCAGAACCCGTCCGTCTGAATGGGCACCATGTCGTCCTTGCGGCCGTCCCGCCCCTTGATGCTGAGGAACAGCAGCGGGGGCTTCCCCTTGCCGTGCTTCTCCGAGGTCCAGTGCTCGCACTTGTTGGACCACTGGAAGCGCACGACCTGGCCGCTGTGGACGGGGATCTGGAGCTCCTTGGGTTCGACGGTGTGGTCCCAAACGCCCTCTTCGTACGCGTGCGTGTAGACGATGGGTTTGTCGCCGTGTACTGGGCCAATGTAGTATTCCTCCCAAGAGGGTACCCTGCCGTCGGGTCGGAAGAAATGCCTGTCGTCACTTGGATAATGCGATAGTCCAAAAATGTCGTTCCTTCGAGTGAACTCGTGCGGCTTGAACGACTTGGTGTATTCTTTCGTCACATCAGACACGTTGCCGGCACCCCAGCAGGCATCGAGCAATTTCCACTCCCCGCCGTCGATTCGTACCGCATTCCACGCATGGCCGTCAGCCTTCTTCGGCGGCGGACGCTCCCCCTTCTTCAGCGCGGTATATCCATACCCTTTCCCGTGGCCCACCACCGTGATACACTCCAGACCCGCGCGAGTGGCGATTTCTCTGTATGTGTCTGCATATCCTGAACAGACCGCTTTGCCCATGAGAATCGTTTCAGCTCCCGAGCGACCCCTGATGTTATTACCGAAGAAGGCTGCGCAGTCATAAGCGATATTATGGTGAAACCACGTGAAGATTGCCCGCGCCTTGTCTGTGAGCGATGCAAAGGGACCGCAGAGCATTTGAGCCAAGTAGCCTACTGGATCGTTCCGAGGGAGTACGTGTATGGGGTATTGGGCGGCGACACCATCTGGCCCGGAAAAGTCGCGACAAATCAGACAGTCGTTTGCACGCTCAACCACTCTGGCCGAGACCGCCTCGATTTGCGCAGCGCTTGGCCGGGAGCTGAGAGGAACAGGAGGAGGTGCGTCATCATTCGGAGTTGGTCGTCTCCCTGGCAGTGGCGGCCGGTCGTTGGCTTGTTGATCCTGGTTTGTCGTCGGGGGCGGTAGCTTAACGTAGGCCGCTGGCGGTGGTGGTAATCTTCGTGGCTTTGCTGGTTCTTCTTCCTCCAGCGTGTGTCGGTGGACTTGCTGGGTGGTTGATTTTGAGGTTAATCGTGGGGGTAGTACTGGTCTCTGAGGAGGCTCAATCTGTCGGATTGCGGGCGATGACTTGACCGAAACCAGAGGGAACTTGGGCTGCTGAGCAGCGGCTTCCTTTGCTTGGGCAGCTTCTCGCTCCCTCTTGGTCGGTGGCAAGGGTGGTAGCTTTGCCTGATCTAGGGTGGGAGGCAGCTTTCGTGTTGGGCCATCAATCGAGTGAACGCTGGTTGCCGAGGATACAGTTTGGTTCAGGGAGAGAGACGACAGGTTAGAAATTTCGGAGGCATTTGAGTTACGGCGAACCGTCAATTGTTGTGTAGATGGCCTCCGAGGGGGTAGAGCTGGTGAGATTTGCAGGGTCGAAGAACGAGTTGGCAGGGGTGGAGGTGCAATGCGATCCCTGGGGGCTGGTGAGGTTGACGTTTCGACTTGGGATGAATCGGTGGTTCGTCGCGGTAACGGTGGTGGGGCGGGCTTTGCCAGGGCGGCGGCCTTGTTCGGTCGAGGAGGGATCGAGGGACTTTTCTGCGGCGTGGGAAGTCCATTCGTCTGGGTGACGGGGAGCGTCTGACTGCGTGGAACAGGACGATTTGTTGGCGGCGGTGGGGGAGGTGGCCTCTTGACCTTCGCTTCTGGTGCTTGGAAGTTCTTTTGCTGGTTGAGGGCGGCAATTCTTTCAGCCAAAGAGTTGAACTTGGGCTCTTCGACGTCGGCCATGGTTGAGTCTCGGGACTTGAATGAGGGGGGCCGAACGAAAGGCGAGAGTTGGTGGTGTGCCACAGCTCAAGGGGATGAGAAGTGCGAACAGGTGGTTTGTATAAATGATGGATGAAACAAACGACTGTCGATTATTGGTGTTTACCCCACCAATCCAGTTCGTGTTGATCGCGGCGCGATGTCCCAATTGAGCAATAGGCAGCAGGCAGGCTTTTGTGACTGAGTCACGGAGCCCTAGAGGCGATTGGGACTTTTGCGCGGCGGGGTTGTCAAGAGCAAAGTGATGATATCGCTGCCGGGCTGGATCTGTAGAGAACGGGCGAGTGTGTCGAGCAATCGACCAGGGGTCTGACGAAACAGATAAATGAGTTGGAGGGGTACTGCAGAAAGCTTTGTATAAATGTGATTGCTGCCACGGTAATAGTACTCGAGGTACGAAAGAGAGTAAGCTAAATGTGTGGCTATTGGTGTGGCCGTGGAGCGGAAACGAATGCTAGCCCAGTGAAGGATTGGCTGGAAGATGGCTCGGCCACGGACAAGTGTAATGGTACAGCGTTTCTGTACCTCTGTAGCAAGCTGATGCCAATACGTACAGAGATGGACGTGGGGAGTTGAGAGATGTTGGATTGTGGCGAAGCTCTCAGCCTTCGGGTTGATTGCCGGTGCAAACAAGGCGAGGATGGGAACGCAAGCTCGCCTCAGGCAGTGACACTGGTGGTCAGGCCAGGCAGGCAACAGGAACGGGGCCGTCTGGTAGGCCCACCGGGTCGGAGGCCGGAGGCTGGCAGGCGCGGGACGCGAGAAGCTTAGCCGTGACAGGGACGGGGATGGGAACGACAGTGGACAAGAGAAGGATGAATGAGTTAAGTTACGGTAGCCGTACAAAGTACGAATTGACGAGAAGGAGGAAGAGGGGCAATGGGGAAAGGAGAGGCGTGAGAAGAGAAGCCCAACAAGGTTTTGCAGGAACCGGGGCCAAACTCGGACTCGACCCAAAGGTTGGTTGGACGCAGCTGTACGAAGTATCCGTAAAAAGGTAGGGTATGTCCCTCTTTCCAGGTTCGCAAAGCAGCACAAGCGCGCAAACACAGATCAGGAAACAGCAAGCAGCAAGGGGTGGGATGAGCTTTGAGGGAGAGTGACGGGTATCTGCTTTATTTAAAATAGCAGAGATGGGAAAGACAAAGGAGCGTGGGGCCACAGATATGGTACTTGTAGACTTGGGAACGCCAGGGCCAGGCACGGCACCCATACCCATGCCTCGCCCCGTCTGAATTTGCAGTTCTTGTCCAAGACTTAGGTACGGATACCAGTACCTACACTAAGGGACGAAAATTCATCTGCACATGGCTGACACTCTGCTCAGCCCAGTACTTCAGCTTGAAGGTCTGGCCTCTGCTACTATGTACGAGCTAGAGATAGGGTCACAAGTATCTCGTGAGGAGAATGGTACCTGAGATTGGAGAGTACATACATACGCAGCATTGGTGCTACGTAGTAAGAAGTAAAAAGGTAAGAAGGCGGGCTGGGCTGGATCAGTCGGCACAGCCCAGCCCTGCTAGTGGGGGATTGTGGGGATTTCCCCTCGGAGCGGATGCGCTAAGGCCGATCGTCGCCTCACGCTTGCGCCAAGTCTAGCGCTGAACCTGTCTTACATGGCGGCTGCCTGGTACTGGATTCTCTTCTCTACCTCTACCTTACCATCAGCATCCCGTCTATTGTGCTGGAATAGGGCGTTTTCCGTCAGCAGGTACGCCGTTGAAGAGGCCGTTTCAAACCCCAATACCGGGTTTCTACAAGCAGTGACTAAGGTAAAGTGAGTACCTATCCAGGGAATTGAGACTTCCTGATGCTGCCCCTTCTCCACATGGGCGTCATTGCGCCCCGTAAAGAACCATGTCTACCGCGGAGATGCGACACTAGCAGACGGCAAACGTAAGCTGCCGTAAAACTTACCGTAGCCAGACTACATCGCTTATGTTTCTCTCAGCCTCTTTCAATGGCCGTCTCATTTGCCAATGTTATCATGTCGGGAAGCTGCAGAGCAAATACTCTTGTGAGAAGAAGAGGCCTGGATATGAGTTTGAGATCATGGGTACGCGCAGGGTATTTAACAATGTATGCGACAACAGTGTGTGGTTTTCTTTCAATTGGTAGTCGCACGGCAAAGGGCTTAGAGATAGAAGACGAAAGCTGGGACAGTTGAACCGGAACCGGAACCGCGACACGTTGGCAAAGAGGGGGACGAGACATGCCTATGAAGGGTATGTGTTTATATCCGTCCATTCGAATACAATCGGTGGGGATTCCTCAAAGGCCTGACGTGACAAGTGAAAGAAGGGGACGACGGTGACTCTGCTCCGTACCTTGGACGGGAGTTGCAACGGCAGGGAGGTGGAGCCGGCCGGATTAGAGTGCTGCGAGCTGTGCGTGCTGCTGCGAGCCATCCTTGAGTCCCACGATACGGTGGCCCTTGAACGTCAGAATGATACCTTACCTAGGCGAGACGCTAAGCCTTCATCTCTCCCTCTGGAACCAGCAGATGGAAGCGCCCAAGAAGACAGCGAACCTGTCATTGAACGCTTAGTCATCGCCGAGGCGGATGGTAGTGCCCGTACGCAGTAGGTACTCAGTAGTGATGGGGATTCTAGGGAAGCTGCTCGCCCGCCAGTGGAGCATTGCTGCGACCTACGGCCCCGTGCACAGGGAAGGGACCCCGGGGAGATCATTGACCACCCATTTACCTGCAGGTTCCACGCATCTTTTCTGCCAGTGACCTGCGCAGTAAGGCCCCACGCCCTTAGGCTGGAGGCTGGAGCCCATGGGCCACCCATCCCTGGGCTCCCAAGGTATGTACATACTGTGTAGGTTTGCGCTGTCAGTGGGCCGAGGGCGGGCGCATCGTTCACTGTCTGGCTGGCCCGCCCCGTCACCCCTCGCCTCCAACGCCGACCACCACCACCACCACCACCACCACCACCACCACTTCCCACCGTGACGCTGCACCCTCCGCCTCCGAAGACGCCCCTCCTCCACCACTCCCAGTCAGTCACGCAGTCAGTCTTCTGCAAGTCGCAACTATTCTTCTGCTCTGCCCCTGCTCGCCTACCCGCGCCTAGCCTCGCCTTCCATTCCATTCCCAAGTTCCTTCCCGTCCACTTGCAGCTTGCCATTGTCCGCTGTCCGTTATTCGTTGTCTCCATGTCTCCAAGGGTGTCTGTCTCTTCACCCTCCCCAACATAAGGTCGGCACAAGCCAATACCTTTATTTTTACATTTCCTCACGCAACAAGAGGACAAGGACAGACGTAGACCCGTCTCCGTCTTCTGTCCATTTCCACAAACTCGCTTGTCGTCCTCACCAGCCTACTTTTAATTCCGTCTCTGGTATCCTCTTCACTGCGCCTCCGACGGCCTTTGCAAGTTCCACCCATCGCGAATCGAGTTGGCGTATCCGTACTCCTCTTCCTACCTATGCGCCACACTTCGCCCACGATGGATTCACCCCAGTCTTGCGACAAGGCTACCACCACCGCCTCTGAGCCCGCACCCAAACCTCTCGGCTTTCTTGACCTTCCTCTCGAGACCCAAAAGGACATCTTCAGCCATGTATGCCCTCCCCTTCAGCCTACAGCCCATGTCGCAATGCAACTGACCCCTTCTAGTGCTGCCAAAGCGACCTGATTTGCCTCTCCCTCGTCTCCAGACACTTTCGCGAACTCGCTGCCGCCCAGCTATACCGCAACTTTCACATCGTCTTCCCCGATGAAGATGATCCATCTTTCGATTCACCTATCGACAGCTTGGCTGGTGGCCTCGACACCTTCGTATCGAGCGAATACGACTACGCTCAGCATCTTCGCGATGTTTCTCTCGATACCCTCAGCGCCGGCGACAAGGCCGAAGCTGCATATAAGCCGTACTTGTACAGCGCCAGCTGCGGCAAGTTCATGAACACGTTACTATTTCTCACCCTCAAGAATGCAAAGTCCCTCGAGACCTTCAGGTACGTAGCGTTGGCTTCCATTTGCGCATCGTCACCGCTGACAGCTCGGACACCAGGTGGAACATCCGAGTCGAGCTAAGCCGGCCTGTGTACAAGGCGTTACACCAGATTGCGACCCTTAAGAACCTCCACATCCGAATGCAAGCCGGGCCGTCCCTCTTCGAGATTCCCCCTCCGCTACCGTATTCGACGAATCTACCGCCGCCTACATCCACTCAAGGTCATTGGGACCCGTTGCCAGCTTTTTCCTCAATACCGCCCCCGCCTCCTCCTTTCGCAAGCATGTCTTTGAACGTCCCGCCGCCGTACAACCCATCTTCCCTTGGTTCTCACCCTCCCTTACCGCCCGCGTTGAAGCCGACGCCCCGCAGTAGGCGTAGGATATCCGCCAACGAGCCCGCAACGCTGGGCGGGTTCCGCAAGCTGAATTCTTTGGTGGTTCTCGACATTGATACCTTGGATACTGTTACAGAAATCAAGTCATGTGTGCGCAATTCGGCGTCTACCTTGACGAAACTGAAATTGTCCTTCTCGACGTATCTTGCTTTGCAATCACGAAAGCCACCTCCGGACACCGACCCTGATGACTCGGACCAGGATGACGAGTTCCAAGTTGTTCCTCTTCCATCAGCACCCGGTTGGGATGAAGCGAGTGGACCGGCAAAAGCATTTCGCGCGCAAGAAGAGAGGAAAAGTCAGGAGTCGGTTTTGGGCAGGATCTTTGACGTGGAGCCATTCCTGGCAAAGAAGTCACAGCATCGCAAGAGTTTAAAAGGAAAGGCCAAAATCGATAACCCGGCTAACACGCAAGAGGCTGGCTCACCTGCCGAAGCCTTCATGAATAGATTGCGAGAGGTCTCGGGTAAACTGATGGCAAGCGTGGCGGAAGGCGATGCGGATGACGGGTCAAAGCAAGAAATTCTAGAGATGATCGAGAAAGCCAGTCGGAAGTATTTGGAAGCAGAGGAGGCGAAAGCGGCGACGGAGGCAGCGAAAGAGAAAGAAAACACGACATCAGCTGAAGCGGGCTCTTCCACTGGTGCAGGATCGTCATCCGCCGCGACAACAACCGTTCAGCCGGCTACGACCGTCGAGGTTTCGGGAGCGTCTATTACCGGTGCAGATATCAGCGCCAAAATCAAGACCACGCCAGCAGCCGATTCTAACCCCGAGGATATCAACGTGGAAGAGCCCATTGCTGCTGACGAGGCTGAGGCGATCGAGCGGGTTCAGGCTGTCGCTCCAGAGACGAGCTCGTCAATTCAAGAACCTGCATCGCCTACCACGGCGCGAGCAAAGGCCGCGTTGGAAGCTCAAAAGGCAAACTTTGAAACATTGGTTGCTCGTCTACAGCACCTATTATCCGAAGCCACAAGTCTCCAGGAGAAACTTGAGGACTTGCGAAACACGACGAGCGCTTTCGACCGGGACCACATTCGATATGCCGAGAATCAGTTGCAGGGCTTCTACCGCGATATTGAGAACGTTCGGTCCGAGCTGAATGCGACTGAAGCCGAGATTCGTGAAGTGGAGAAGCAAGTCAACGGCATAGCCACGACAGCACATGGCGAGGACGAAAGAATCAGCGAGTATATCCGGGCGACCAGAGGCGTCGCTCTGCGATCCTTTAGTGTTCACCTCATCCCAGTCAAGGCCTCTGTCTTCAAGGCAGCCATTGACGTGAGAGTGCTAAAGAGGCTGACGTTGCTAAATGTCGGCAATCAAGCTCCCATCTGGACCATGTTGACTAAGGAAAACAAGGCACAGCCGCTCCCCTTACGCAAGATCTTCACGGATAACGTGTCCATGCCTTTCCTGACATTTGCATCGCAATTGGAGCAGATCACCGAACTGTTCATGCTCGAGCGGTCGTCCAAATACAAGCCCGAGAGCTTCGCGCCCAAGACAAATGTCGTCATGGACCAGATCCGCCGTCTTGTTCTCAAGAAGCACATGCCGACACTAACTCGGCTGATGATCAAGAACGATTCTCAAATGAGCTGGGATCTGGATGAGAAGGCCATGCTGCTCATTTGCAACCGCGGGAAGCAACTCGAAGAGCTTGCGGCCTCGCTTGGCATTCGCGCCATGGTACGTTATCTGAGATGTTGTGCGTGTTCCAAACTAATCAATCTCTTAGCACACATTCATGCAGCACCTCGGAGGGCTGGTAAACCTTCGAGCTCTGAACGTAATTTCGTTCAGAAACGATGATACCTGTGTCTGGGTGATGCGCGAGACCCGCAAGTTCCTCGTCGATAACCTCAGCCACCACCCCCACATGAAGCTCGAGTGGATCTCAATCGACGATGACCGGGTTGAGCGCATCATCCGCCCACCACCACAGACCCCGGCTGCCAGAGCCGACGAGAAGAGAAACAAGAAGGGCAAAAGTAAGCCTGCTGGCTCTGCTTTTGGCGCCTTTGGTGGCCCGGGCACCTCCACTGGTTCAGGTGCCCCGGGTAGCTTCCCACCGCTGCCCATGCCGGGATGGGAAACGGATAGCGACAGCGACGATGAAGACACCGATATAGTTGCCAACACCAAGCTGGAAACCGTTGAAGGCGTCCATTTTTATGATGTTTGGGACGTCCGTATTTTCAAGAAGGAAGTCATGGCCGGAAGGCTGTGAACGAAGGCCCCGAACGACGAGGGAGAAGTTGTCAACGGAGAGCAGGAGGGAGACACGGGGCTGAAAAGAGTGGTGGAAAACCCATGGGCTTGGAAAGAATATGTAGCAGACGAAACGGCGTTAATTGGTTTCACTTACTTGGATGGGGTTCATCTGGGGAATACCCGGCACTAAAGGAAATCAAAGCCTGGCGCAGTAGGGTACGGGAAACGGGGTATTAGGGGGCAAGGAAGACATACCCTCAGGTTGTCCCAATCTACCCACGGCGTAAAGTAGCGACCTCCTTTTTTTTAAAGCATCATTGGGCGGGCTTGTATTTACCCCCCTTGCCATGTTCATATTATAGACCAGTCATATGTGAGATGTGTGTAGAGTTAGTTTGCTTTGACATATCGGTCTCCTATCGCAAGCCCGTGCATACATCTCAGTATCCAAGCGCTCTGTTCCAAGTCCGACCCGTCTCTTCAGAACCCATCTTCACCTCGATATCGAAAGCCAGGCTCTCTCTCTTTCTCTCTCTCATGTGTGTAGCTCCCGCCAAGGACTCACCTCATCAATCTGAGTCCTACTGATCATCTGCTCGATCTTCTCAAAGTCCTTCTCCATAAGCGCAATGTCGGCATTGGACATGCGAGACTTGCATGAGGACATGGATTTGTTGATTTTATATGAGAGGACTATGTAGATACAGGTGAGCAGGACGCCATGCGAGAACTAGATGCGGTAGACCTCGAGGCTGTACAGATCGGTGAAGGTTTAACTCGGCCCCTTTGATGAGGTCGGTGATGACGGGGTTTAGTTATGAGCTGGGTGAGGTCGGTGATGATGGTCATTTTGGAAGAGTGTGGTGGTGAGGTCCGGGAGGTTTGTTTTGAGTTGTGCGTTGTGCGTTGAGTAGGGATCGGGGATCGTGGAGGTTGTCGATGAGAGGAGGTGTGTGTGAGTGAGAGGAAATCTAGGTAGATGAGATTAGGGTTGGGGGGTATGAAGACTGAGAGGACAGAGGTAGGAGACTGGAGTTGAGTTGATTTTAGGGCAAAGGTGGGCTGAGAGAAAGGTATGTGGTTCGGGAAACTCCATGGTGAATGCCTTTTAATTGTCGGGCACGCCTGGGTACCAGGGTACCTTTGAAGAAACGTCGGAGTTTTGGAATCGCAGATGTATGTAGGCTCTATACTCGTTGTCTCCAAAGGATGGTATCCTGGATGCCTTTGATGTTTTCGTTGTGATATCAACCTGAAGACAAAGAACCGAAGAACATCCTACAATCTGGCCGACCTAAGTAGGAGTGGACCTTTTGTTGAGGTGCTGGAGGGGGGGGGGGGGGGGGAAAAAAAAAAAAACCCCCACGAAGGAGGAAGAAAAAAAAAAGTAAAAAATTTTAAAAGAGAACCAGGGAAAGAGGGGCTCCCGGGCCCCCCCCTCCCCCCCCCGCCAAGTCCCCCACATACCCGTATCTCACGGGGGGGGGGGGGGGGGCAAGAGAAAAAAGACTCCATCATAGGGAATCGAACAAAAGATTAAGCAATTGTTCAA